CAAATCGTATACTAAGCCCATGCAGGACCACCCTTTATAATCTTTTAGAGATACCATTGCTAATATTGTTATAGGCATCCATTAAGAAATTATTTGTCCTCTCAATGCTATGTCACGTTTAGGACCATTCTGTTCATCACGTACCTTTGGACGGTTTTAGAGCGAAAGCTATACATAACCATTACACCCTACTAACAAATCATTTATTTCAAAAACCCACTCCACGCCCGATTACACAACCTAAATCTAAACAAACTGCCCCTCGTATTTTAGACGAATCCAGTGGATCGATAAAAATGATTGGCTTTGAATTGATTTGCAGTTATCTTGGCATTTTGTCAAAAATCATGATAAGTTGTTGTTTACAATGAAAGCCTGGCTAGTGAAAATCGGTCTTTGAAAAAGTAATCCATCGTAAAGAAATAAGGTTAATGGGAAGTGTTTACTTTTAATAAATGAAATGAGTATTGACTTGTTAAAATGTCAGCTCCTACTTAAAGCGACTTTATCACTATCTTAAATCTAGACTTTATATGTGTGTATCTGTATCTCGGCATCGGCAATGGTTTGACCGATTGATCTCAAATTTTGTGCTAAAATTAATTTGAAAACGACAAATTTAATTGTTAAATAAAATCTTTATCAAAACGGTTTCTTCTTGATAGCCTAGCCCAGTCGAAGCAGAAAAGTAGGACTTCACTTTAAACCCATTTAATTTCTTTTTGATAACACCCCTTCAATGACTTGAGTAAAGTATCATAAATACGAACAGATCCAAACATTATACAAATCTTTAGATGTCTTATGGTCAAAGTTTTTAGTACTAACGGTTATATTGGTAAGAAGGAGTAAGCGTTCCTGGATCAATTTAAACCTCAACGTCCTTGTATCGAGGGAAGTTTTAACCCAGTACACACTTTGATTATTCACCTTTATAACACACCAGTATTAAGAAAAACATTTCGCAGATGTTAACTTGAGTGGAGAGGACTTTTACGGGGTAATATACTCCCTTCATATAACTTTTCTTATTTTAAGACCTTTTCATTTGCCAATGGTTGACAAAAAGAACGAAAATGTCAACAAGGGTTAAGTTATTCGTGGAAAAATCAATCAATAACACAGCGGGCAATTGAAAATAAAATATTACGCAAACCAATAAATCATAGGTCAGATATAGCATTATTTTCAACACGTATCAGGTAATAAGCTCCAATACCTAACAAATACAGAAATTTTCGTATCTTTATTGATATTGTGTTGGAATAAATCTAAAGCCTTTCGAAATGTTTGCCACTCCGTCTACCTTCCATACACCCATGAGATTACAATGAGCGGCAACGTGTCCACATAATAAGCTTCATAAATTGGCAGATCTGTAAATTATTTTTAAACACGTTTAGGATCATGACAGTCTGGAGATACATAGTGTTATTGGATGGGGAGTTTGTTCAATGACGTATTTGTCCAAGTAAAGCATAAAATTAAACGGAATAAAACGCATATTATAAATTTAAAATTAATTAGTTTAATTTGATGCCGATAATAGGTTTATATAATGCATATCTATACACCGGATAAAAAAGAAGAGTCACACAAAGCGTTGAAATGCGCCCACACAGCCGCCATGTCTCGACGGCAGCTTATTTGAAAGGAAAACTTGGATGTTGACCAAACATAATAAGAAATGTACCCCCCAAGAAATCATTATCGTGTTCACAAGCTTGAAAACAATATGTTACCAGCGGTTGCCAGACAAGATACGCCAACATTTTGCAAGAGATGGGTAGAGAAAATTCATTTTTGTTTTAAGTTCGTGTGTCCATTTTGTCCTTCATAATGCCATCGTGAGGGCATCTTGTCAAATCCTGTCATCTTCGTCTGATTATCGGTGCCGCTGGGCATACTTATAGACCCATCAGCGTTAGCTGAAAATACTTACTTTTTCACAACTCAATAAGAATCAGATTTATGGCGTTCCAAAGCATGGACATATCAAATTCCTTATAATCTGACAATTATCGAATTTAATCGATGTAATGAAACGCTATGCCTATTTTCACCATTTGTACTCAATAAGAATCAAAGGTATCGTGTTATAAATTATCGACAAATCGAAAAGTTCATCTCTCCTCAACTCGGTGAACGTCCACACCAAGTTTGTTTGAGCAATCTTCATCAATTAGAAGCTGATTTATTATGCTCTAAAGCCTTGACCAACTAAATTTATTATCTAAGGTCCCCATCACACCAAACTAGTTCTCATTCCGCTCTGAAAATGTTGTCAAACGGACTCAAACTATGTACGAACGGAGTAGCAACTGTTTACGATCGGCTTATGCACGTCGTGGACGGGAAGGTGCTCTAGAACTTTGAGCCTGTTCAAAATTTCCCTATCCTGCAATTAGACGGGAGTCACAACGTGACTACGAACGGAATTGTCGTACTATGAACAGAATTTCCTTACTTCGATCCTACTAGGGACGTGTTACAGCATGACGTGGTAGGGCATTAAATAGCAGCAGGACTAGGTCAAGTAGTAGCTCGCTGGAACATGAAATAAAGGGGTACAATGTAGGATATAAAATATGGGCCGTTTCCTCACTGGTTTCTCATTTGGCTCGAGATTTCTTGCAGTGCAGTTTTGGACAGGACCATGGAGCCTTTGATATGTTGAATATTGGTTCACGCAATTTCCGTTGTAAGCAGAGCAAGCGTACAATGAAATGGTAGAACAGGGAAGAAGGAGAAAGCCAAGAAATGGTTGGGCTTGGAATTTGCTGAAACGTGAGAGGAGAATAGCTGATAGAGGAGCTCCGCCTGGATGATCAAGTGCCCTTATACAACATCTTGAGAATCACCCCACCCATGTTTGACGAACTTCTTGAACACATCACCCCTTTCATAAAAAAACAAGACAACAACTACAGTGAGGCTATGGAACCAGCGATGAAGCTTGCCATCACACTGCGTCACCTCGCAACAGAAGATTCCTATGTCACATGCAATATGCTTGTTGGTGAAAGAAGTGTGTGATGCCTTGGTTTTTAAATTATACAAAAAAGGCGAAATTTAGCCATGTTTTTGGTCTCCATCAAATGAATTAGTACTACAACCGGACTGTCCTACAAATTCAATACTACTAAAAATATATGACACACAATAAGAAAAACTAAAAATATAATCACCCACCCCGACGAAATAAAATAAAATAAATTACTACTTATTGATGCTCGACCACGTCACGTTGTAACACGACCCTAGTAGAATCGATGTACGGCAATTCTGTTCATAGTACATCAATCTCGTTTGCAGAACGTTGCTCCATCGTCTAATGGCAGGACGGGGAAAGTTTTGAACACCCACAAATTCTTAGAACACACTGCAAGTGTGACAAAGTGCTCTATAACTCGTATCATATTAAGATTATATTGTATACATGTAACGTATTTATATAAATGCATAGAACCAATTTCACCCCCACATCTGCGAACTCACTGAACCCCATACGTTATTGATGTATGATGCAAGATATACTGCCCACTACCAATGTAACTTGTTAAGCCCGTCTCATACTACATCCGTATCCATACATCCGTATCCATAAACGTCATATAGTATGGGATTTCTCTCCACAAGGATGATTATTTCCTCTGTCTTGTCCATGTTGTGTTCTTCACAAGACTACACAAATCCACAGCACACAAGGCCAGGCTTTTCTTGGAATGGATTGAGTTTCTATTTGGGGAGATGGTGTAATAAGGGGAAAGAACTCGCTGATTGGCTAAAGCTCGGCTCACTAGCCGAAATGCCGGACGCACTTTACAAAAATACGCTCTGGGAACAATCAATCCGGCTTAACGGACGCAGTTGTTTTTGTGCGCAATACGTGCCGGATTCTATTTCAACCCTTTCTCTAAAAATGACTAAAGTATACCAGTACGTATTCACGCACGTATTTACAGATACGGATGTAGTATGAACGGACGTTTAATTTTATTGTTTCCTGGTGTATTTTAGTTCCTTTTAAATTTATGTCCCTATGTTCCTGATGTAAATAAATCAAATATTTACGAAACTGATCACAGTTATCAATAAGGTAGTGTTACACAAAGTTCTTAAAGAGATCGTAAACAGTTGCTACTTGGTTAACTCCTCTCGCATACAGTGTGAACCCGTTTGGGAGAACTAGTTTAGTGTAATGGGGGCCTGAACACCACAGCTCGAAGCGTTGAAGGGAAGAGGAATGGCAAGAACGCCATGGATTTTTACAACCCTCGCGCAATAGAAGCGCGTTCGAAGGCGACAAGAGCGAGTCGAACTCGGGCTGGACTGTCTCTTAAACTTGGTGATCCGGTTACGAACTAGTTAGACGTAGTTAGAACCAATTCCGGAGGTATTGGGAACGGAGTAGAACTAGTTACCAAAGGGTTACGGACGGGCTTGGACTGCTTGGAAAAGGGAAATTTACTCAATCTGTACTTAATATAAACTGACTGTGGACGCGGTGCAGACGAGATAGACGAACTGAGTACTGTTCATGAGCGCACTAGGATCGTATTATAGATATTATTTACAGATTGTACCCCGACCACAACCTGTTTTGCGATTTTCTAGGGAAATTTCCAGTACGGAGTGATAAGTAGTTTAGTGTGACAGGGACTTAAGCAGAAAATGATCATCATCGAACTCGGTCAACACTCATCTAACAAACTTCTATACCACCTCACTTAGAAACAGACGTCTGCTTAGGTTATCAGCAGCACGTTCACCTTAGAAACATCTACACTGAAAAGTGTACCACAGTTATCCATCTCAGTGCAGACACTCATCCAATGAACACCTACACATAATATGAATATTCTACCGCAATTAGAAGCAGAGTTATGGTGTCCCACGTATCTCTGTTTAGCTACAGGACATCCAGTTGTTCCAGTATAAATAGGCCGACTAATACCGCCTTGGCTGTACTAAAGAAATACATCTACGTTTAGACTTACCTAATCTTTCTTTATCATTTAATCCGTTTGGTATTTTGTCGTTTAATTTTTTAGATTTTCCCTGAGAGGCCATGTCTTTCATACTGGTTTCGTCCTCCTTCCGAGACGATTTCTTCTTTAACTTCGGACTAATCCGTAGAAATTTCTTCGTTTTTGACGACTGGAAAAATAAAAATATTAAGCACCTTGCCTTATTTAGATGTCCATGCGGTTATGTCAAAACAAACACTTGATTCAATGTCAAACCGACAACCGTCTTTTTATAAAGTATATGTAGGGCACAAGAAACGGCTTACTATTAGAGATTGTCTATTTTTATTTCTGTTCTTGTTTTATACAAATTTTTACAATTTTACAACCATAAAGCTTTCTCGTAATATAAAAGCTATACTGAACTCTTCGAATTCAAAATTATCCATCTACGAAGACCAAAAAATACTGTTATTCTTGAAAGCAGTTGTTTTCGCTGGAAACGTTACGGTAATTTGGTTATTCCGAAAGGTTATCAAAAGTCCACATTTTTGGATTTGGTATGAAATACAATTCTATCTTACCCGCATTAAAAAAGCCTTAAATGGGCGAGTTGGTCATTTTTTGCAATATTTGAATAAAGTTTCTGCACCACCCGATACCACGTATCAGGTATTTGGGAAAGTCATCATAGAAAAGAACCAGACACACACTGCAATTTTATATGGATTGAAAATAAAATGTGTTATAAAAGAAAAATACCCCCCTTTGTCGTAATATGTCAACATATTTATATCAACATACAAGGATTGAAAATCATAATGTGTAAAAAACCCAATACGTAATTCAAAATATATAAATTATCAACGAAGGCTTCAAATATTTTCAAGGAAAATGAAATGAAATGAAATGGGGTTTAACTTCCTACTGTTCTGCTCCTAACCTGGGCTAATGAAGACGGGCATACGCCCGTGCTATGAGGGAAATTTTGTCCGAGCAGCGGCGCTGCGGCCTACTCTTATATCGAATTCCAACTGCCAAGGGATCTTTTACGTGCACGCCAATGTGTACACGGGACCTCGGTTTTTCGTCCCATTCGAACGACTAGACAGCAGTCCTTGTCAGGCCCTCCGTCCTGCATCACTGACAAGGGGAAACCACGCCGGAAAATCTGGACGAACTTTCTCGGCCAATGCAGGGATCGAACACCCGACCTCCAGGCTAGCGAGTCAGCGTCTTATCCACTTAGCCACGTGATCCCCCTATTCTCAAGGAGAAAATAAGATATAGTAAAGAGTCACAGACAAGATAAAACCTACTTAGGTTAAAAACTCAACAACATAAATATCACACCATACCCAATGTTATTCTAGCTACTAAATATATCCTAAATCATTAAGAAGAAGAATAAAATGTCTGCTAATACGGTGTAATCACTTCAACAAAACGCAATTTTAAAACCTGTACACCAACATGCCGTTAAGAAAACGACCCAGGCCATCATGAATTTATTGTCTTGAAAAACCCAATCGTTAAAATCATCCTCTTAAAGCAGAATTAATTTCAAATGAACGTCGTTAAAAGCACATATTTATGTAGGTTTCAGCTCATAAACGTTTGGATTATGTAACACACCAGCTACTTTCCAGGTGATCTAGCTTTATAAATGTGTTTATTTTCCTTAAAGTTCATAAATGGGCGTGCAAACATTGCATGGAGAAGAAATACTGTTTAAACCGACTGCCGTTTTTTTGACAAAAATCGATTGTCATGCATTTTTATTATTAGTGTAATCGAATTGGCGGGATCGTATTTTCTAAATTAACTATGTCAGACTGGTGAAAAATGATGAAAAGCAGGAAACGAAAAGAAATAATACGGGTGTTTAACGTACTATTTTTCTGCAACAGCTGGGTTAATGAAGACGGGCTTACGCATTTTAGTGTGCTATGAGGGAAATTTGGCCCGGACACAGGCGTTTCCGTCTCACTCTTCATCAAATTCCAACTGACAGTGGCTCTTTTCCGAGCACGCCAATGTGCACACGGGGCCTGTTCCTTATCACTGACAAGAGACACTACGCAGAAAAATACCGAGGAACTTTCGAGACCAACACCGGCATTGAACCAGGGATCCATGGCTAATAATCCATCGCGGCTCCATAGCAAGGCGCCCGCTAAGAAGAGACATAAGGATTGACCCAAATCAATCAGGTTCAGATTGATTTTCTTTGGGACTTTATTCGACCTGAGATGTTTAACTGTCTACAGCAGATGTTGAATTCACGAACATCAATAATGGAAGGTTTTTTGAAGGACTGGATAAGAATGAATGACAAGTCACATCCTATACATTAGACGTGTTGATGACAAGGTAACTGCCGTTAACTCATTATCTTAAGTAGCCATATCCTAGGCCAGGTTCAACAACATTTACAAACAAGAGCAACAACTTTGGAAGGTATCACAAAAAGTTTAATACTATTCTTCGCCTCAGTAATATTAACACTATATATCTTAAAACGATCAGATCACAAATGTAGCCTGAATAGAGTTTACGAGAAATTGTGGACGATGGTCGATGCACTACCACATTGCAATATGGGTGTATAAAAAGTATCGATGCTGATAATTATACTCTTTATGAATATGACAAATGATGCATTATTTAGCGTTGGGGAAATAGTTTGTTGAGTAGTCTAATAGTTTATGTTGCAAAACATTGCTTTTAAATAAGCTCTGTTTAATGAATTCAACCACCCATTGATACGCCACTTCTTAACACCTAGTTCCAACTTCCATTGAGGGAGCTTTGCATTTGACTGCAAGTTGGCAAGTTTAGATCTTTTTTTATCTACAGCAGAATTGATGACACGTCTATAGTCCGAAGCACTATAGAACTATTTTAGCATGGATGATGAAATAGTTATAGGTTAGACAAGCACACGTATTAAGTTTAGTCGCAGACACCACTGATGATCAGTAATATAAAACATCCTAGTGCCTGAAAGCATGTTGATGACAGGCTGATATCACGTGCGTGATAGTTAAACCGTAAGCGACAAACTCGCTTACTGACATCCACACGGCCTCTTCTCAAGTAATTACTACTTCCGGTCCAGGAATAGATCAATTTGCCGCTGGCATTACGGGCCAATCACATCCGATATTCCTTGCATCCATTGTAAAACGTTAATTGATTGGGTCTAATTGGCCATTGGTTGATGGCGGTGTACCGAGATATGGTACTATGTTTGATGTATTTATAAAAGGTGAACAATATGAGTAACCGCAGATTGCCGATTTAACAATGGATCAGTTATTATTCAATAATTGGCTTGTCACAAACTGGGTTCATAAGAACCCGAAGACATGGCACAAAAATAAAAAAGTCCTTGTATATCAAGCGGCTTTTTGATATACAAGGACTTTTTTATTTTTGTGTTTTCACCACTTTTAAGGTGACTTCTCATATACACGGACTTTTTTATTTTGTCCTTTTACCAATTTTCAACCCATTAAGTGTGAATAATTTAATTAAATCAACCTGGCCATAATGTCATATTTTATGTTTTGGACGTTAAATCTGTAATGAACAACAAGCAATTCCACTGCATTAAAGGTTAAACTCTCTTGTTCGGTCATATAAAAATTCGGTCATCTCGAGACGAACGACCTGGTCCCATTTCTTATTAGGGAGTTCAAACAACAATTGTTTGTTGTCCTTTGTATATTAAAGAAATAAAATAAAACCAAGTACGTACAATCCAAACCATTAGACAAAATTCGAAGTCCTAAAAAAAACGGTATAGGCAAAATAGTGTAATAAGGCAAAATAGTGTAATCAGCATATGGACTGTTCACCGTGTACAAAATACACGACAAACAGTCGTAACAGGTGTCCGGAAGAGTAAGCTTACCCTGCCTAGTAATAGCTGTTAACTACTGTCACGCGTGTAACTTGATTGAAAGTAGAACAGATAATTTTAAGCAGACAGCGACACTACTCCTTTTCGAAATCCAAAAATAGAATTAATTAATGGAATAAAGGTATATTATATTTTTTAGTTCGGAAATGGTTTAATCTTAAGAGGACGTTAAGCCAATGTCTGAAATAAACATGTACTTCGTATATTAACAGGAAATCGATTGGAAATAAATAAAAGTATTATTTAACGAAGAGAGCAGATTCATGACATTTCAGTAGATACAGTGGGGGTTATTCGATCTAACTTTATTCTGACATCAGACGTCAATTTATCGTCTGTCGGTATTGCTATATTCCACGTCCAGTAAATAATGAATATTCATTTTTCAATCAGATGCGATCTATATTCGAGGTAGACAATACACAACTTACAAAGTCTGGCAAAATAAAGGTTAATAGGAATAGTCTGTATCGATACTCGTTGAAACCTTACAGACACATAAAACGATGAAACTAATTAAAGGAATTAGTCTTAAAGGCCCGCTTTCAGGGTAAGAAACTAGGCCACAGTAAAAAAAAAATCGTTAGGTACATGAACTCCCGTTATCATGTGTTTTAGAAAATGCTAGACTACACTGTACTGCGCATGAAATCCGACACGAAATATAACGAAATGAGGCATCGCATTAAAATTCACGGAATCTCAACAAACGACAAATTCATCCGGTGACAGACTATCAAAGAGAAAAAAGCCAAACCTGTTCTATTCCCGGTATCTTTAATAAAGGAAATCTTTACTGTAACAAGACGCTGTACATAATGCAATGCATGGCAACGGCTAAATAGATTCTTATTTACCATATTAAATCAACCAAAGAAAATATTCATGTCCCGCATCAACATGTCAGTCTAAAAGAAATTAAATTACAGAGTAAATTAAGAAAGCGTATTAAGTTTGTATGTCTGAAAACGTAAACCTAAAGTGTGTACACTCCAAGCCAGAACTGAAATCAAATCAGAACAAACCGACTCCGTCTCTTTCAAATAAATTACGCTGTCGATCTTGAAGGAAAGAAATTGCCATCGGCATCTTTTTGTTACTTATAATGAAATGTATAGATTTTTCATCAGAGTTACAGAATTTACCTCAAATGATAAAAAGGAGTGTTTTTAGTTACCATCGATTGCTATTTATTGGAATTGCTGTTGTAAATGGGTAACTATTTAGTATTTTGATGATAGTTAAAAGCTTACCAGTGCATT